TGAATGATGTGTGGTCAGACAAGCAACCAAAAAGCTCTAGCTGTGAAGGCTTCCTGGAGGAGGTGACATCTAAGCTGAAGGATGAAGGGATGGTCAAAGCAGCAAACGTAAGTCTTAGAGGTGAACTAGAGCATGCTCAGGGAGCTCCAGGGTGCTCAGTTTCCAGGGAGCATGTGGTGCATGGGGGAGACTGATGATAGGTAACGTCCCCAAGGTCTGGGGCCATCACCAAGGATTGCGTTTGCCAGACCAAAAGGGTGTCAGCTTATCCTGAGGACAATGGGTAGCTATGGGAAGAGTTTAAGCAGGGAATTAATGTGGTCAGATTTGCATTAAAGAAAGACCATTCTAGGTGCAGTGGGCAAACCCCCAACATCTGTTATCTACTCATCTAGGAAGACATCTCAGTAAAGGTCTTGCTATACCTGTCTACTGGGAAGGGCACCTTTAATGCAATGACTTCTACTTGCAAGTTTAGGTATTTTTAAGACAGACATTTTAAACTATGAAATATTTCAAACATACCGAAAATTATGCACTGATTACTCAGATTTAACAGAAGTTAGCATATTGCTGCAGTTGCTCCAGATGTTGTTATTTTATTTCAGAAATAAGAAGTAACACATAGACACATTTGTCTCCTTGCCTGCCCAGAGGTAACCACTACCCCAAAGTTAGTTTCAATCTTTTCCATGTATGAGAGTACTTCAAAAGTTCATGAAAAGATTCATATTATCTTTTAATTCTATTTTTTCACAAGCTTTTTGAAGTATCCTAGTATGTTTTTACACTTTTACTACAAACACTATACATATGTATACATGGGTGTGCATAGAGCACTTTTTCTTTAGTCTCCTTGAAATATATCTAAAAATTCCTGCTTGCTCCATAAAGACCAAGTCTTCACTAGTGAGTTGAAATAGAGCATTGACACACAGACATTAGCCTAATTTATGTCCACAAAGTGCTTTGGCCTAAAATATTCAGAGAAGTAAGGCAAACATCTGTCTTGCCTCAAAAGAGCTGTTGGTAAGCACAGTCTTTCACTTGGTTGATATAGTCTTGGCTTATGCCTCAGAAAGAGTCAAATGAATCATCCAGACCCTTTACCAGAGTTTGCATCTTCCAAGAGAGTCTTGAGTCAGTACTAAGATCTTCTGGGATATCAGTTCTTTACTTCCTTGGATGTCCTCTCTCCTACGTCCCCAAGCACAATCCCTTGAACCTTGCTGGTGCTTCCTTGCTGGGCTTCCTGCAATGGACATTTCAAGGGCTGTTTGTAGCTCTGGTGCTTACTGAGGCCTTTCAGGCAGGCAAAGAAAACACATTCCAGGGATAGGGGTCAATCTTGGATAAGATGAATCACTGCCCCTTCTAGGGTAATTAACTTTCCTACCAAGTGGCTGTTTGGTCTCCTTGAGGGATAATAGCATATTGGGGTCTCAGGGTTGGTCTCTGTTACTGGTAGGTGGGACACTGAGCAGTGACAGGAGCTGGAAACCCATACTGCTGGCCCATGCATAGACCCTGTCTCTGTCACCCTGGCTCCTCTGTTCATGAGCTCACTATGCAAACAGTGGGTGGTCGGGGGCAAAGGCTGACTGACATCTACTGGCAGAATCATCCTGTTCGCTTATTTGTTTAGTGCCTTTTCTGCAGCAAATATTCTGTCTTGGGCATTAACATGAGACACAGTGACCCTCACAATTCATGCCTACTCCTGTTGGTTCACCAGTCGCCTCTTCCCTGAACCTTCTTGCCCCCAATCTTCCCATCTTGCTCCTCCCAGGCCCCTCAGCAACCAGCTGAGCCCATCCTCGCTGCTCACGCACCTGCATAGATTCTCCTCACAGGCCACGCTCTTTGCACACAGTGTGGATGACCTGTGCTCTTTACCTCGAGCCCCACCCATCAGCAAGACCTCCTTGCCCTGCTGTCTTTCAGGGTCACCCCTGTGTGGGGCTGTAGTATGGCAGCAATCCAGCTCAACTGGTACCCACATGCTGAGACAACCCACATGTGAACCAAGATCGGGCTTTTCCCTCGCGTGTCAGCTGTGATAGGACCCCCTCATGGGGCCAAGGGGTGAGCTGAGGAAGAGATGTCAGTGCAACCATAGCGGGTGACCGCTGAGCCTGCCACCTCATTGTGCAGCTCACTTGTGCTCTCTGGCCTGTTCCGCCCGACCCTGGGCGTACTGCTTCCATCTTATGAAGAATTGCTGTGGGGCCTGCCACCTTATGAACTGGTGGGTCTGACATTACCTAGTTTATGATGGGCAGTTCTGGCCACATGACCATTGGATGTCTCATGGTCACATGGCCAGCCTCTGCCAGGCTGCAGTAGTATGGGAGGTGCTTCTTTTTGAATGCTACCTAGTGGTATCACCTCGATCCAGAACCGCACAGGTCTGTGCTGTGCCTCTTCTGCTGGGGCTCGCCAGAGGCTCCACACAGAACCTTTTTCTACCTCAGATACCTCTCGTAGCGCGGGGTCTTCCAGGTGTTATGGCCCACACAGCAGGGCTGCAGGTATTGTAGACAGGATCTGTTGCGGGCCCATTCTTGCTCTGGTCCCCCCGTAACCTTCACCCTTTTGTGTTGCCCCCAAAATGGGTCAGAGCAGTATTCTCAAAATGCTGCCTCCAAACCCCAAGAGGCATATGCAGCATTGTGCTTCTTTCATAGCAGAAGAATATCCAAAGGACAAAAATGTGTCTTTTACTTTGAATGGGTTGACCCCATATGTCCCACAACAATTGGGTCCCTAGATCTTGGAAGTATTTATGACTCATTTTTTTGAAGTGCTTGCATCCGAGGTCCTCACCACTTCTTGTACATCTGGTCCAATTAACACAACGTTATCTATATTATAGAGCAGTGCGAGGTTCTGAGGAATATTGAGATGGTTTAGGTCCCTCCAGGCTCTGTTGTGACACAGAGAGGGTGAATTTACAGAGCCTGATGGCAAGATCATGAATGTATACTGTTTTCCATCCCTGTGAATTCAAGTTGACCTGTATGGAACAGATTGCATCTGCCAGATCAGTAGCTGCACACTGCTTACCAAAGGTGAGTTAATCTTCTCAAATAAAGATACCGTATCTGGCATAGCGGCTGCAGTGAAGCTACTACTCAGTTAACTTTGTGGTACTCTAGTGTCACCTGCTGTGGTCTGATTTTTTGAATTAGGTAAGGATACCCTGGGGACAACCATCCATGTGTCTTTCCAGCTTTGAGGGTGGCCTAATCTGTCATTGCTTTGAGGTGTGACATTGTTTGCGATTTCTGTCCTGGTAGGTGTGTTGTGGTTTCATTAGCTTCTGCTTAGTCTTGACTGCATCATAGCCCCTACTCTACTGGTCAACTACCAAGTGCATCCATTGCAATTAAACAATTGGGAGCTGGAGAAATGACAACTGGTTAGGCCCGTGGACCCAGTGGACCCACTGTGACATGAACCTGGGCTATGGAGACATTACCTGACCCCCACATGCCCTGATCCAACAAGGGAACCATGGTGGCTCCTTGGAGCTGGGAGGTCTGGGTATTTCTCTTCCCCAGTATACAATTACCTGAGTGAATGTCCATGGGTTCCTTTTGGGAAGGACTGGGGAAATCACTACAGTATTCTGTTGACATGGTTTTGCAGGGTTCTTCTGCATGATGGGTTCTGGTTTCTGAGAACTGGCTCAAGTCTGGAAACTGAGCAAAGGATTGTGATTATATATTGTGGTGGCTGACCTCAGCTTTCTGTTCATCTGTGGTCACTTTGGTCATCCTTGGTCACCTCAATGGCAGTTTTGGCATTTCAACTTCATTTAATGTGGACGTTGCTTTTCCCAAGCTTCCAAGAGTTATTGCAGCAGGATATCAGGACAAGCCCCTAGAACCTTCTCTGGGTGTTAAATCTGGTGTCATGGGGGAGTGTCTTCACATTGACTCCTCCTCACCCAGCTTATATTCTGACCCCCTTGGTCCAGGACCACGAGGATCTCCTTCGGGCATGTTCTCCCAGATCCTGCTGGTGCACAGTAATCAAGTCCCACAGCTTCTTCCACACATAATCCCTGTCTTCCCTTAGCATGTCCAGCACTTCCCCACTCAGGCTATGCTAAAATTCAGCCCTTGCTGTAGGTCCAGGAGGGCAGGTAGGACAGACCCTGAGGAGGGTGGGCATTGTCTCATGCAGCTTCTGTCTCATTCAAGCATCATCCAGCAAGGGAGGTGCTTCCTCTCGTGAGGGCCAGTGAGCCACTGCCGCAGCCCCAGAGGTTCAGGGGACTCAGGGGTCAGGCTTTTGAAGTACGTCTACCTAGATATTCCCACCTCAAGTCTCAGAGTCCCACTCCTCCCCATCAGAGTCTTTACTGGGCTGAGAAATCAATTCTCTGAAGTTCTGCTGCTCTTACAATAAAGTCCTAAGGCTGCTCTTCAGCTCGGTCTGCCCACTGGCTATGAGAAATGAGGCTTTCTTTAAGCACTGCCAAGGAAGCCCTCTGGCTTTCACATTTTGAGCTGATGATTCCTTGACTTCAGCCCATTATTTTCTCTCTTCAAAGCATGAATAGTATTCAGCAACCACCACCCAGGTCCACTGTCCTAATAATTATCCCCCCACTCCCATTTTTCACATGCCAGAGACATTGTATGAGCTGGTACACCCCTCTCTGGTATGCCGCTCCAGTTAGCCACACTGGAGTCTGCATTTGCGCAGCTACTGCAAACTGGGCAGGGAGAAAGATGACATGACTTGCCCAGTTCACTGGGTGAGTTAATAACCAAGCCAGGAATAGCAGTCCCTCTTCTGGGCTCTATGTGTAGGGAATAGAAGAGAAGCTCTTTGGATTCCAAGACAAATAAACTCCCACAAACTACCTCGACTAAGAGTGAATACAGTTATTGCAGGGATTCACATGCTCAGGAAGCCAGGGAAGCCTAAGATCCGTCCTGGAAAACTGTAGAATCAGGTCTACCAAGACCAGAACCAGTATAACATACCTCTGGGACAGGAGAAGCTGGGACTCTCCACTGTAACTGGGTACTTGACATGGGCCTGCCCCCGTCTGTTGTCTCCATTGGCTGGCCTTTTCTGTCCATACTTGAGAGCTAGAAAATCAGATTGGCATGACTAATAACAGTTACTGCTGGGAGAAGATGTTGCCATCAGACCACATCCTGAGCTGTTGACCAGAATGTATATTGGCTATTGTTGGACCAACCTGAGGCAGCAGAGCCCAGGGGGTACAAGCAGTGCCCTGGAACTGGACTGCCTGGTCTTGAAACTCGGCCCCACGGCCAACAGGCTGTAGGTTCTTGGCCAAGTCACTTAACCTTTCTCTGCCCCATTTCTCGTTTACAAAACGGAGATGATAATAGTAGCTCCTCACAGGGTTGTGTGGAGGGTTACCTGAGTTAACATTGTTTACAGCCCTTAGAGCAGTACCTGGCACATAGTCCATGGTCTGTGTTTGCTAAAAAAAGAAAAACAAAACAAAACAAAACAAAACAGAAAAACAGCATAGTCTGTGGCAGAGTGGGAGCAGTGGGAGCAGAGAGGAAAACAGAGAAAACCTGCAAAGGGAAAAAAAATATTTGTTGAGGGAAGTTCAGGCCACCAGGATTGATTCAGTTACCAAGTCTCCCATTTTCTGTTTAGTCCATGTCCTTGCCTGTAGAAAAACTCTTCTTTGAAATGGTCTGAGTTGGTTTTTTCCCCCTTGCTACCAAAAACGTCTGTCTGGAGCAAATACCTTTTTTCCACTTCCACGCATTGAAGTCCACCCTCACTTTAAAGTCTCACTGGACAGCCCGCCTTTCCTCCATAAAGCCTTCAGATTTGCCGTCAGAAATCTCTTCTAAGCAGCAGTAGCACGATCTGTACCTCCTTCGTGCCTCTCCCCGCTTTCTACTTTGTGTTGTGGGCATTTGTGTACATGCCATCCCTCCTCTACTAAACTACATGGTGTCTGTGAAGTCGGGGAACACAGCTGAACAGATATAGCATCATCAAGAGCTTTTCAGTCTGTGACAAAATTTGAAATACGATCTACCTCTCCAGACTTTATGGCCACACCATAGATGCCCCCAGTGCACATGAACCTGTCTTATTGCATTCTGAAGGCAGTCTAGCGGGACACTGTGGCTGTTAATAGGGAAAGGGGGACTTCTTAGGCTGTGTGTCCTCGTCCCTCCATCTAGCTCTTCCCAAGAGAGGAAGAGTGGGTAATATGAGTGGTCAGACCCTAAGACACTGGTTAGGCTGCCTTTTACTAGAGGGTAGGGTCACCGTTTGTTAGAGGTGAGGACACAGCTGTGAGTTTCCTCTTGCCCTTCCCATGGAAAGTATGACCAAGCAAAACCTGATTCCTCAGGGCAGGCCCAGCCATCCTTTTTTTTGTTACTTTCCATTCTGTGCAGTATACACACCTATCAAGGCCTGCCTCGATTTCCAGCCTACTTTCTCCACGTAAGGCTGAGGTTGCAGATCCAGGTAGGTGAGATTCACGGGTAGTCAGGCTAGTGAATGAGAATCAAGCATCCACTCAGGTTTCCTAATGAACCACCTCCTGCAAACCCACCTGTCCCAGAATGCTGCTTTGGGATTCTCAGCAGGGACACCATATCGTTCATCTTCCAAACCAGGCATTTCGAGAGTGAAAGGGGAGGTTGTTAACCTCAATGCTGTTAAAATAGGCATGAACTGGGTATGTTGCAGGCAAACCAGGGCTTGGGGCCCCCTAGTGATTAGGCTCTTCTTCCGTATTTGTACGGCAGTGATTCACTTGATTCACTTCCCATTTGGTTCTCACCTTTGTGTGTACATCTCCTTTGGTGAGAAATCCCAGGGGGAGAAGAGAGAAATTTCAGTATCTGAAAACCAAAACCCAACCTTGAATACTTTACAGGTATAATTCATTAAAATGGTGAAAAACAATGAATGTAGTTGAGTTCTTGCAAAGTTATAGTAAAAATAGAAGACAATATTATGGTAAAACAAGTAATTAAGAAAAATAACCTAAAAAACATTTTTCTTTACTCTGATGGATCCAAGTCAGAGTAAGCTTGATGTCCCAGCTCATCCCTCACTAACTGTGTCATTCTGGGCACGGTGTTTAACTCAGGGCTGTGTGTGTGATCTGAATGTCACTTGGGGGCCTTCCTGCCCCTTGGAGATTTAGTAAACTTGACTTAAACACACTGTGTAGTGGATTAGGTAGATTCAGAATTTTCCCTCCAGTTTCTTCACATTCCAATTCTTAATCCTTTTTAAAAATCTTTTTCTTTATGCTCCTCTCTGTCTCTGCAGTCTATGTCCACATGTGTTGCCTCACGTCACAGCCACACGTGAACCTCAGCCCATCACTCTTCACAGGAAATCCAACCCTTCTCACCATTGCACGAGTTTGGTGATTGCAACGAAGATTCGCAGGGCAATGTGGAGGAGCTCGTCCCACACCATGACCATCTGTCCTCCGGGTGACCCTGCCCTTCTTCCCTTTCCCATTTAGTTCTCTTCTAAAGTTCCTCTCCTCCCCACATCCATTCCACAAACCTTTGGAGAATACAGTCCAGCCTTTTATGACTTCTCCCAGGTGCCCCCACCTGCTCCTGTCCCACTGCTCTCTTCTCCAGCCTTCCCCTGATTTCTGCTGAAGAAAATTTTCCCCATCCCATGTCTTGAATAAAGAAGCCTAGACTAGGCTGGGCACACAGCACCGTGAACATATCATAGGCTGTGGAAATTCTCAGTAGTGATTTCTGAGCCCCTCTGAAAGCTTTAGCATATGGGCGAGTTGTGTGTGCATGCGCATTTTTCTAAGGGGCTATTTCTTAGCTCTAATCAAATTTTCAAAGGGATCTGTGACCTCTGAAAATCAGAAGCATTGCTTTGGGATTTGATGTCTCATTTCACTTAAAACTTAAGTGTCTCCATTTCCATGATATTGGTGCAAGGTTCAACTGTCTCTTAAACCTATTAGTAATATTTAGAGTTATCTTTGGGTTCACAAAATAAATAAAAAAAGAAAGAAAAGAGATAGAGATAGAAAATCCCTAACCCTCTCTCCTCAACTGGGCAACAGTTGGAAGAATAGAGGAGGAAGAAAGTTAAATGTGTATATCAGTATAGGATATTTCCAGACACAAGCAACAGAAATACCAACTGAAAATTGATTAATAAATAAAAATACCCAAGCTTGGGTATCTCCAAGGTTGATAGTTCGGCAGCTCAATAACATTACCAAAGTCCCAGGTTCTTTTCATTGTTTTGCTCGTCCATCATTAGCTTGGCTCCCCGAGTCCCAGGATGGTCACCACAGTTCCAGAATCATCAGCAGACCCAACAATATCTAGTGATGAAAGGGAGAGACATCTCCTGTGTGTCTCCTTTTATCTGTGAAAAATATTTCCCAAAAGCTCCCCATGAATGTTAACTCATCTCATTGGCCAGAATTGTACAATATGTTCCTGCCTAACCCCATCTCAGGCAAGAGTAATGGTACCAACACTGACTCACAGTAATTAGGACCCACCCTCTGGGGATGAGGACAGGCTCAACCCCCACAAATCCCATCATTGCCACAGAGGAGCATAGACACAGAACAAAACTGGGGTTTTGTTGAATGAGTGACTCAGTAGCAGCCATGTGTCTGCCACAGTTATGCTGAATGAATTGATCTGCAAGCAGCAGAAGGCAGAGGGAAAGGAGGCATGGGCTGAGGAACGGCATCAGCTCCCAGGAGGGGGAGGAAATAGATGGTGGGTCAGACAGATCTTTCTGCCAGGGGCGAGGTCCTGCTGTTAGTCGAGGACATTTTGGTTATTTTCTGTAAAACCTCAGGGCAGGTAGCAGCTGGGGAAAATACTATCCAAGTGGCCATGAGTGTAAGCTGTTTTGAATTTGCTGTTCCACACCTTGGGAGATGCTCCGATGAGATGTCACTTAAGTGGCTTTTGTGTCAACATTTCCACTCCAATTTCTCTTGCATCGACTTTCTCTAACATAGAGCAAGTCTTGCCTTGTCTCAGACTCTTTAAAACTATATCTTTGCTTTTCATTTCTTTCCCATGTCTTTAATTTTCATAAGATCTCAAGAAATAATTTCCTCATCTTTAGTGTCTTGTCTAGACACTCGGAGTAGGGAGACAGCTGCAGGTTTCAGCTCAGATTCTGTTCTGCATTGTTATAAAAATATTCCATGCAACCATCATCATCCTTTTAGATTCCCAGTGCCCTCACAGAAATACTCTTCTACTAATGTATCCAACTAGTCACATAGACCAGGACTCTGGGATAACCAGCTCTTAGCCGATTTTGTGTCTATGGTATAAAGTCATTTCAGTCTGCATGGCATAATTTAAATGCATTTTTAAAGCAAAGTGGTTTGCAAATAACCCTGTATTGTGATATGTTTCCATAATGGCACCAGAATCTGCTCAATTCTGTAATGAAACTTGCGATGATGCTCCCACAACACCCACCAGGAAAGATTACCATAATGAAAGATTTTTATTGCAAGCAGGTTCTGTATCTCTGTTCTCTCACTTCCATCTCTCCAAGGTGCAATTTAAAAGTCCTTATTTTAATTTCTGACTTCTCACAGGTTGAATGTATGCTGTGAAGATGACTCCAGTTAAGACAGTGTTTTTGGTGGGCTGAGAAGGGCCCTGATGTGCCCCTCCCCCAGCATCTCCTTGTATACATGGGAGCTTTTGATCTGTAACAAGAGAGGAAGGGTGAGTTATTTGGAGGATGAGCTGGAGGAGACAGAAGGACAAGAGGGATGCTGTGGCATTTGCTCTTTCAACTGTGAGGGAGGAAGGAGTTAGAGACTGAAGCAGCTCAAGTGAGTTTTTTGAGACCCTGGGCCCAAATGCAGCTGCTTTAGGGTCCAGAGAGCACAGAGGGGCACAGGTTGTGGGGACAGCTGGTCCCCTTGCCTCAGCACCAGAACCCCTGATGGCATGGCAGTGGGAAAACTCCATCAAATGCCTTATGGGCAAGGGTCCTAGCCAGGAGGAGAGGAGCTGGGGCAGGGAGTAGACCAGAAGAGGGGTAGAAACCACAGTACTCAAGCAGGCCCAAGGGGACACCCTGATGGGTCTCTTAGAAGTAGCAGGTTGAACCACAGGGTTGCCGATAGCCAGTGGTCAAGCCAGTGAGATGGGGTCTTCACCAGATGGTAAAGGAATAGGAAAGAATGGCATTGTTTTGAATTAGATTCAAAATGCTTTGGCATGAAAAATACAGAAAAGACAGGCAAACATGTTTCTTTCCTCAAACGATTTGTAATGACTTCAACTCTTCATTTTCCTGCCTAATAAACTTGTAGACTTGGCGGGAACCACTGCTCCAGCTTGCTAGTGCTATGTAACAAACTATCTCGCACTTCAGTGCCTTAAAACAGTAACTGTTCTGCAGTCTCTCATGATTTCTGTAGGTGAGGAGTTTGGAAGGATT